GACGTCAAGTCTCCACCTCACGTGGCCAACGCACCACTACAACCCATGACAGCGGGATTGCCAAATGAACTCGTTGGCTAAGATTTTACGGGCCCCAACCTCAGACGGCTAGCGGTAAATGGGTTCGTACAGTGTAATCACAGGTATGAAGCCAATAAACTTGACCAGATTTTATGGCTATTTGTTATTTGTGTAAGCTCACCTATAAACCATTAAACGAAGCAACTGGCGACAGACTGTTAATTTGCTGCTTTGCCTCCAGTGTCATTTCGATGGCTGGATGTTTGCTACACTGCATTCGTTTGATGGTTGTGAGTGTTATTGATACTGGTTGTGGGTGAAGAAGATCATTTTGTAGGTGGAAAAAAGCATTGTGGCTAATGAATAAGCAAGATCCCACAAAAATGGAATTCGACGAAGCTGATAATAAATAAGTAAGCATTGATCTCTGTTCGAAATGCATTGTAGGTCAAAACTTGGTTCAAGCTTCGTCGAAGAAAACCAAGATTGTTCTAACATCAGTGACTTCCACAGCCATTATCCATTTGATGCTGCCAATTCCGCAATTTCAGTGTCAACAATGTCGAAGCCTTTTGGATATCTGCAGTTACCTCACTCTTCCCAAGTCAAGACAATGCCCTTCAATTTATACACCCCGTAGACATTGAAATGTTAGTAAAGTCTTCTGCATTCATAATTACTCCTAATCGCCGGCATTCCACGTTTGGTTGTTTTCTTTTTGAGAAGAAAACAGTTTGTTTTAGGCACGTAACGCATGGTCTCTTCACCACTGACAATAAATGCTGGATTAGATGTGTAGAATAGTATTATTTAAACATGTGCTAACATCGAGATCCATTTGATTATTGTCACATGTAGCGATGGTCTGTGATTTTCGTTTGGGGCAATGAGGGGTGAATTGATAAATTCAGGTAAATCGCGTTGGTCGACGAAGGCGTTAAATGAAGGAGCGTGTTGTGTTCACAGTTGCGATGTGCACTGAAGCTACCGATTTGGGTCCAGAATCGTCGGTTGAAGCAAGGCGGCACTAATCTGAGCGACTTGCTGCTGTATCACACTACCATGGCTTTAGTTGAGAAATTCTAAGCTGATCCAATGCAAGAGTTGCACCTGGTCCTGATGAGTTAATTTGGCATCACTTAGACCCCCACACCATCTCATTGGCTCACAAAAAATAATCCACGAAAGCCATTCCGCTTACCATGTGTCTGGAGTTTGCTCTCTGTGTAGTATACCCGAGCCCTCGGATGAATGAGGCGTGGTGAACAGGCAACGAATTGGACATCTCATTATCAGGAGTTGGAAGAGGCTTGTGTTGAATGCTCAGGTCAAGCGGTCCGTTTTGTGTCTCACTGCACTGCTCTCTATCAAGCGCATTCCCTGTCATACTGTCGAAACTCGATGTTGAGTGAGTGAGACGAGAAACACAACACTCGCTGTGTCGCCGATCACGTATGTCTATCGGAACCACCTACAGTTTTGAAAAGCCACTCAAGGACTAGAGATATACACTGAGAAGCCGAGACGAGAAGAAGAGTGAAAAACTGCAGACGATGCGTCGCCCAACTAAGTTCGAAAATGCAGTATCGGGATGGTGCAGTTTGAGCTTGCCTGTAGCCCGCAGTTTGAGAAGCAGTGCTATGTAATGAGGGCGGTGTTTTTTGAGAGGCACTTCGTCGATGCTCGTCGAGACGCTGGCAACAAGGTAGAAGTAGGTGGGGTACCGTCCATAGGAATTTGCGCAGCCATTTCTGCATGGACGAATTCTGACCATTGTGTCGATTAAGGCGTCAGGTTGGGATGCAACCAGACAACGTTTGGTTTACTGTTTGTGGTTTATCCTGCGTAATGATCGCATTGCGCCTAGCTTCAAGATGTCACAAGTTGTTTTGTAAATTTCACTCACAAATACCGCCTTTTGCGCTCTTGTTGACTGTCATGACGCCACACATTGAGCGCCTGTTCAAGTAGACGACATTTGCTGGTTTAGCCTGTTAAGAGTTCACGTTTGAACAAAATTGGCTCAAAAATTACCGCTAAGCATTCATCACTCATGCGCCACTTCTCGTCACTTAACACTGCTCACTTATACGAATCCACCTCTCTCATTCACGCCCTTATATGTATAGAAAGAATGTTGGCGTATCAGGCAACCGAAGTAGGGCAACGACACTGTCCGGCTGCCGGCTAAGTGCACGTGTGTTAGCTCTCGATCCACTCAACATTCCTGGCTGGCTCAACTGTAGAAAAGACAATGCAGTGGCAGCAGCCCAACAATACGAGGCTACCTGCAAGATCTACTACGATACTGGACCTGCCATTTGTATTCGCAAGCAGCAGCAGTGAGTGGTCGAAATGAATTCCTATTGAATTAACTTAACAACAAGGAACTCTTCAAGCATCCAAATTTGATTTCATGCTTGTCATTCATGCCATTTAATGTATTTACTTCTACAGTGCTTCGTGTTGTCTTTGTGATGTGTGAGGTTGTACAAAGCAGTGTGGTGTGTTACTGAAGTCGTATTTGTCAGAGCATGTTGTAAGTGCATTTGCACTAGAAATTGCTGCTGCGTTCATTCTTCAAATAGGCGTTTTACGAGTTGAAAGTGAGTATAAACGTTTCAGGTACACTATACGTTGGATTCAATCACTTGGCACTCGTACGTCACTTTAGATCCACAACAACTAATGCATCTGGTGGACAACGTGACATTCGTCCTTGTCACATCGAGCCACATTAAATTGTGAAAGGCCCGCAGGATAATTCGACTTCTCCACACACCACATAGCATTGATTTGGCAATGCCTACGTCAAACACCCTTTGGATATGACTTCGAATTTCAATGATTCTCTTAGTTTAACCTGAGGGCCATTTTAATGCTTACACCAGCGCAACCATCTCCATACCCTTAAGTTGCTCTCTTCTGAGCTGACTAACGCAGTTTACATGATCAATGGTGTGCTCCAGCACCATCTGAAATCAATTGATTTTATGGCTTGATTCACTGCAAACGTGTGTTATCTAATGTTTGTTTGCTTGTCATAAACCTACTCTAATCAATATAAACCATTACATTTGCAAGCTCCTGATACTAAGTTGATATCATTAACAAGGCGCAGGAACTACTACCATGAACCACAGTTGCCTGCTTAGGATTAGAATTGTACTTATGAATTCCAGTCAACTTATCAGCTGCGAGGAGCCATTGAGTGCAGGACCGCATTCTTTTCATGCGACGAGAGTCCTCTTGAGAGTAAGAAGTGATTGGTCGAAAGCAATGTTGAAGTGGGTGTGTCCTCTTCAAACCCTCAGCAAAAATTAATTTGCAATATTTAGGGGGCGTTGGAGCAGCAAAAGATATTACCTTTGCTTTATAATGTGCATTCAACGTGTCAGCACATGAATTGTGTCTGATCACGCACACTATATATTGTGGAATAGCCAATTCTATTGCAGATTATGCATCAGAACAGAATGCGAGGAAGAGAAGTTCGCTGATCCCTTTGTCTGAATCCGGTGAATCTAGCAAACACATCGCAACCGACGGCAGTCTTTCTCGGCTTCAACCGGCACGCATGCGGCACAGCGGGTGTGATGCATCGCTTCAAACCGACTCCAAGTCGTCTGTCGTTAGGCCGATATGGTACACGCTTGACAACGAGCAATACAGTAGGAGACAAATCGAACCACTTGAGCTGCGAGTTCAACACAAACCTCCTTCAGCTACTAATGGTGAAACTCCATCACGTACTGTTTGAATTCTGCAGGATGATTCATATAGTACCTTATTACTTTTATTCATTTAGCCAATTGACCTGCACTCTGCTTTATAATATATCACTCCTGCTACTTTAAGAAATATTACCGACCTGACAGCAATAATTCTCTGTTTTGAAATGTAGGCTACCATTTTCAACTTGATATGATCTAACTCTAAAACGCATCCTTTTCGTAACGTGAGTTGCAGTTTCCTGATAAACTACAGTGAAACTTCCATTGTTTTCTTACCTTGAATTTTGAATGTCTGCTGTAATTTCCACGCCTGTTCATCCTATATGCCACATGTCGTGGATTGTATGCAAGCAAGAGGAGAACTAACAGCTTTTCGCAGCATGTTTGGCCTATCATAAATGCACGTGGGTTCGCGATATCACTGAGGAGGTGTTTTGAGTTATTCACTTACATTCGTGGTATCTAGAATCTATTGAAACAGTGAAAGGTGTGCTTGTGGTACTCAGATGACATTTAATTCGCTTCATTTAGCTTATCAGCCTAAATATGACGGTCTTCTTCACGACACACCATCCAACACTCAACGCAATTCTTTCAACACCAATGCCAACCTCGTGTTTTCCATCCGGCTGCCACACGTAAGAACCTATTTACAGACGCATCGGACTAATTTCCATGATATGGCAGAGCAACAGTGCAAGCAAATTGACTCCACAAATGAGGATCTTACCGCGAAATGCGACACCCAGCAAGCCGCAACTTCTTTAGGTCGCTTCTCCGTCGACGACTGCAGAGTCGACTATACATCGACTTCTGGAACGCGGAAAAGAAAATGTGCGCATTATTCAAAGGAGCAAGTTAAGGAACTGGAACAACGGTTTATTCAAGATAAGTACATTGGCACTCACGAACGCAGAGAACTGGCTCGACGCTTGGGTCTCACCGATATCCAGGTAAGGCAATTGCGTAAATAGGTGGTTAAACCACAGCATTCATTCCTCCCGATGCGACGTGAAAGACAGTTGTTTGGCATGCGCGAATGAATCGTTGGATCGACTTCTACAACATTGACAGCAGATAGTCCAGCTGCACGAAGATGTGCGGAAATCCCCATGTGGTGTCTCGAAGCACAGCCTGTCCTGATACCCCGTGACACTAAGACGAGTGTCTAGCTCATGACTGCATTCACTCGGCGTTAATGACCTTGGTGAGAAGCAACTTCGTTCACTACGTCTGTTTGAATGAACCTGCAGACGTGAAAATGACTGGTTGGCTAGATATTTTGCTTGTGTAGGCAGGGGACAGGTGGGTGTGTGGAGACTCAGAATACCGGAATGTTAATTTGTCAGAAATGCGGCATGAGGAGGAATCGTACAGCTCAATCACAGGCATGAAGCCAATAAACTGTGCTGGTCAATATGGATATATGCAATTAGAGTAAGCTCACATATAAACTATCAAACGAAGCATTTAGATAGGCTAGCAGTGTCAATTCGATCGCTGGATGTTGGCTACACCGCGTTCGTGCAATTGTTAAGTGTCCCATTGGTAAGGGTAGTGGGTCAGGAAAATAATGTAATGGGTCAAAGACAAAATTGTGGCTAATGAATTAGCATGATCGCACAAAATTTGAATTCGGTAAAGCCGATAATGAAGAAGTGTGCATTGATCACTGTTCAGAATGCATTTTAGGTCATGAATTGGTTTCGGCATCGTCGAGATAAAGCAAAGAGGCAATCACATCAGTGACCTCCACAGCCATCATCAACTTGGTGCTGCCAATTTTAGCAATTTCAGTGTCAAAGGTGTCAAACCTATCTAGATGTCTTCAGTTTCCTCACTCTTTCCACGTCAATACACTGCCCTTCCATCTATTCACCCTGTATGCAGTGAAACTGCGCTTTTCCTGTCTTACTTGCTGTTGCCCATTCTGCCACATGTTTTATTGGAAGACCAGTGAGATTCCAGAACGCTTTTATACCAACGAATGTCCTCGTTTACTGTCCCCGTGATGTTTTAACACAATCTTGTGTTGATATTTAAATCGTCCTTACATGCCTGCACTGTGTTCAATAAACAAGGCTTGACTGACATCTGTATTCTGACCAACGTAACTGCGAGCAGAAATTCTAATGGATGACTCAATCAATCGCCTCTCAGATATTTCACACTGGTAGATCTCCACACTTGGATCACTAAATCCTGCACTTCTATCACCACAATTACTGGAGCAATAATTAAGTTGGCAATTAATCTTTATTTCAGAGACAGAAATAACCAGAGATTAGGAACGTTGATATTTGTAGGGACGCGAACTACGGCTTGACGTAAAACAATAGTGTTCTCTTCGTTACGATGAAACCAAGCAAAATGTTCATATTCGAAACAATTGCATTTGACTTTGGGCCTAACCTGTGGTTCTGGCTTGTGATTGGTCGATAAAACCCGTCTTTTTGCTCCAGTTTCATTCATACTAGGGCTCGAATATTCTACACAGAGAACAAACTCTAGACACATGGGAAGCAGAATTGCGTTCAGGGATGGTGTGTGATACTAAGTGATGCCAAATCAATTAATCAGGACCTGGTACAACCATTTCATTGCATCAGCTTGGAATATCTTAACTAAACCCCTGATAATATGATTCAGAACATGAAATGGATACGCTTCAGCTAAGTTCCGAATTGGTAATGTCTACTGCATTCACAACTGCACTTAATCGCCAGCTTTCACCGTTTGATGGGTTTCCTTATGAGAACAGGACGGCTTGTGTTATGCACCTAACGCATTGTCGCTTCACCACAGACAACAAATTGTTTTACTGGCTCCAATCTATTGTTAACTTCTTTTTCTGTAACCAAGTTTATGTGCCTATGTAACCGTTGTCAATGTAATTTTAGAATGCAAAGCCGAGTGGTTAATGCCAAACAAATTTGGTCGTCGAATGCGGGATGCACAGATCTGACGGCATTGATTGGACGTGAATCAGGTGGGTCAATTTCTGAGATCCATTACGTTTCGGCATAATCTCCGCTGACATCGAGAAAGTATCAACATCAAGTTACTCAGTTTACTACTGCCTTGCCTCAACCGACGATTCTAGAACCAAATCGATACCTTCAGGGCATATCGGAACTCTGAACAAAACTCGCTCCTTCATTTAACGCCTTTGTTACCCAACGCGTTTTGCCTGAATTTATCAATTCACGCCTCATTGGCACAAACGAAAGTCCCAGACCATCACTACATGTGACAATATTCACCTAGATCTCGATGTTAGCACATGTGCAACTAATGCTCTCTCACATGTCTGACACTTAAAAAGCCCACGCTACGAAGCAAAACACGACACATGGACATCCACTTCGTTGAGCTATGAAGTCGGAACCTGCGTTCACGTCCCATATCGTTTTTGTCGTGGTCGCCATCATCGCGGTTATCAGGACATATTTGTTGCACAACTACAAGAAAATTGAAGCCAATGCTTAACATATGATCGGGGAGTTGAGTCTTGATGTTTGCAGCCAAATTGTGTAAATAACTATCTTCTTAACATTGCAGGTCTTAACTTGAGCTGTTTGCCAACTCCAATATCAAGAAATGGAGTCCGCGTGTCGAGGGACCAACTAATTTGACCACATTCCTCCCACTGCATAAGCCAACTGTACTGCTGATATGAATGTACCAAGACGAACCTTTGATCTCAAATTCGGGTAAGGAGCTGTTGCCATGTTTGGAAAATAATGCATCATTTGGTTGGTGGGGCAGGTACACGTTTGTCAACGAAGTGGACCGTTTCTGAACGCTGAATTAATCATAGGTCTATTTTGGGACAACAATTTTAGCAGTGGATTAGAAAATGAATCTCGTTCTAAATTAAACCGACAATGAGCACCAGATTGGAAGTTTTGGTGAGACATGCGACCAGATAATTTGTATTCGCTTTTCAGGATGTGACATTTAATTAGCAATTTAAATACCAATCAGTGATAATCACTCAGCCTACGAGTTATCTACGATTGATAAATATTGACACTTTAAATGACCGTATCGAGAAATTCAGCAACAATTTTGACCTAACGAAGATGAGGTGGAATGCGTTTCTTCAGAAAACACGTGTGGCTATGCCAGTCATGACTTGTCAATCAGGTATTGACTTATCGCGTGCTTGTTGAGTTGGGGATGCACTGATACACTTGATTGTCAGATTTCTCACATGGCATTCTTACTCGCAGTAAGTGAATAATGTTTTTGAAAGTCGTTGATGTTAGAGACTATGCTTTTGCTGACAATTCAGGAACCAAATCGAGACATTCAGTCCACATCAGAACAGTGATCTAAACACGCTCTTCATTTGGCGCCCTCGTCAACCAGCAGTTTTAGCCTTAATTTATTTATTGACGCCTCATTAGACCAATCACCTAGGATTTCATGTTACCACATATGTGACTACAGCTCCTTTACGCACCTGACACATATAAACAAGCTCGCCTACGCTGCTCCCAACACTACAACACGCACTTCGTCAAGCTTGGAAGTCGGCGCTTGTGTGCACGTCCTCTAGCGTCTTCGACGTCGCAATCGCGGTCATCGGTGCAGCTCAATCGGGCGATATACGAGTCAGTGTCTCCAGCGTCATTTCAGTCCACACACCGGCGTACAAGTCGTGGTGACCACACAACAAATTGAAAATCTCATGATGCCGAGTTTAAAGAGGCTCGTGTCGAATGGTCACGTCAAGTGGTTCGTTTTGTCCCTCACTGCACTGCTCACTGTCAAGTGCTTTCCCTATCTGCCTGACGAATGTCGAAGTTTAGTGAGTTTGAAAAGAAACACAACACTCGCTGTGCCGTCGACCAGGTAGTTCTCGCGGGCCTCAGTTCAGTTTTGGAAATTACACCAGTGCCGGCGATATGCACAAACAAGGCCAGACTGGAAAAAAGTGGGAAATGCAGATTGCGCGTCGCTCAACTAATTGTTTAATGCGGTATCGATGTGGTGTAGATTGAGGTTGTTAGTAGCTTGAAGTTTGAGAAGCAGTGCTATGTAACGAAGGCGGTGTTTTTAAAGGCCACATCGTTGATAATTTTCTAGACGTTGGCGACAAGGTAGACTTAGGTTGGGTGCCGTACACAGGAATTTGCGCAGTCATTTCTGCATGGACGATTTCCGACCCTAGTGTAGATTGAGGCCACACACGATAGTCGCAAACTGACAATGTTTGATTTGCTGTTTGTGGTTTATCCTGCGTAATCACATTTCGCCTAGCTTGAGGATGTTACAAGTTTTTTTTAGTTAAGTTCTTCCACAAATACCGACATTTGCTCTCCTGTTAATTGCCATTACGTCAGTAGTGCTCAGACACATTGAGCGCCTTATTCAAGAAGACGACATTTGCTCTGTTGATCTGTTCAGAGTTCAAGTTTGACGAAAATTGGCTGCCACATTACCGTTAAGCATTCATCACTCACACACCACTTCTCATCACTCAACTCTACTCACTTATACAAATCCATCTCGCTCATCCATGCCTTTATATCTATATAAAGAAAGTTGGCTTACCAGGCAACCGAACTACGGCAACAACACTCTTCGGCTGCCGGCTGAGTGCACGTGTGTCAGCTCTCGATCCACTCTACATTCCTGCCTGGCTCAGTTGTGGCAGCAGCACAGCAATACGGGGCCACCTACGGGATCTACTACGATACTGGACCTGCCAATTGCATCCGCAACCAGCAGCAGTAAGTGGCTGAAATGAATTCCTTTTAAATTAATTTAACAACCAAATAGGTTAGCAGGTTTTGCAGTCATGCCATCAGATGTTTTTGCTTCAAAAGTGCTATGTGTTGTCCTTATGTTGTGTAAGGTTGTACAAAACAAAATCGTGTGCTGTTGTAGTTGTATTTGACAGAGCTTGTGTAAATGCAGATTAAGCCACAAATGGATGCTAAGTTCATGCGCCAAACACGCGTCTTAGGTGTTAAACATGAGTTTGCACTATCAGTGGTGTGCTCCAGCACCAATGAATTAACTGATTTCATTAAAATTGATGCACTTCAAAGCTGTGTTACTGAATGCTTATTTGCTTGAGTAGGGGCGTTAGAGCAGCAAAGGTCGGCCTTTGTTTGTTAATGTGCGTTCAATCTATTATCATACAAGTGCTGTCTGATCACGCACACTATCCATTGTGGAATCGCAAATAACACAATCTGGATCTGTTTCATTGCAGCAGAAGCCAAATAGGTCAAGGTACAAAAGACCGCAGATGTCTGCGTTTCAATCCGGTGAATTTAGCAAACACATCGCCATGGACGGCAGTCTAACCCAGCTTCAACCTCCACGTAGACTGCACAGCGGGTGTGATGCGTCGACTCAAACGGACCCCAAGTCGTGGGGCGACGGGACGATAGGGAACACGCTTGACAGCGAGCAGTACGGTGAGGAACAAATCGAACCACTTGACCTGAGTGTTCGATCCAAGCCTCCTCCAGCCACTACCTGTGAAGCTCCATCAGGTAAAGTTTGCTCTCCGCACGATGATTAATACGGTACCTCACACCAAATTTACGTGGCAGTCACGTAACTCAAACTTTGCTTTATAACACTGGAATCGTGTTTCGCCAAAAAATATCACTGATCTGCCTCCAATAATTTTATTTTTTAAATGTGGCCTATCATTTTCAAATTGATCCGATCCAAATCTTAAACGCATGATGTTCTTGACATGAAATGCAATTTATTGATGAACCACGCTAAATCTTTCTTTGTTTGCGTACGTTGGATGTTAATGTCGGCTGCAATTTCCACAACGCATTATCCAATTCGTCACATGTCGTGGATTGTCTGTAGTTGTTGGCCTGCAGGCAACAGAAGAACTATCAGCCTTTCACAGCATATTTAGCCTATCATAAATGAAAGTGGGCTTGCGATATCACTAAGAAGATCGTTTAAGTTCTTAGCCTACGCTGGTTGTATCTTGAATCCATTGAAACAGTAAAAGTGTGCACGTGGCTCACACATAAATTACCATCTTCCTTTTTTAGCTTATCTTCACGAGACTCCATCCAACACCCATTCCAATTCCTTCGACACCAATGCAAATCTCCTCTTTCTAAGCCTACTGCAACTACTAGGAACCCATGTACAGACACATCGAACGACTTTCCAAGAAGTTGCAGTGCAGTTGTGCAAGCAAATCGACTCCAAAATTCAGGATCATCCCGCGAAATGTAGCACCAAGCATGCCTCGACTTTTTCAACTCATGTAGCCATCGACGACTGCAGCACCGAGTCGGCTTCGATACCTAGAACGAGGAAACGAAAATATGCGCGTTTTTCAGACGATCAAATTTGGGAGCTTAAAAATCGGTATTTTAAAAAGAATAAAATCTCTCTTAGCGAATGCAGAGAACTGGGTGGACGCATAGGTCTCACTGCTGTGCAGGTAAGGTGATTGCGTTAAATTTTAGTCGAACCAGGGCATTCATGCTTACGAATGCTAGTTGCAAATCAGTTGTTTGGCCTAAGCAAATAAATCGTTGGACCGATGTAATAAACATTAAGAGTTGATAGTCAAGTTGCAAATGCGGTGTCTTAAAGCACACGCCGTCCGGATACCCCGTAGCACTACGACGAGCGTCTAGCACATGACTGCATTCACTCTGCGTTAATGTTGTTATTGAGCAGCGACTTGGTCCACCAGGCCTGTTTGAATAAGCCTGTAGACGCGCAACTGACTGGTTGGCTGAATAAATGGTCTGTGCAGTTAGGTAAATGCTACAGGCTTGGAGGTGTCCGTGAGGGTGTGTGTGGATTCACAATACCGGAATGTTAATTTGTCAGTGGATGAGGCATGTGGAGGATTCGTGCAGCTGAGTCACAGGCATGAAATCAATAAACTTTAACGGGTATTATCGCTATTTGTTATTTGAATAAGCTCACATATAAAGCATCAAACGCAGCATTTAGCGACAGACTGTCAATTTGCAGGGAGGCTTGCCGTGTCATTTCGGTGGCTGGATGTTCGCTAAACCACGTGCGTATAATGCTTGAGTCTGCCGGTGATAAGGGTAGTGGGTCAAACAGATACATTTGTACGTGGAAAACACCATTGTGGCTACGGAATTAGAAGCATCGCACAAAATTGGAATTCGGCAGACGATAATGAAGAAGCGTGCATTGATCTCTGTTTGAAATTCATTTTAGGTGAGGTTTTGGTTTCGGCATCGTCGAAATAAAGCAATGAAGGAACCACTTCAGTGACTTCTACAGCCATTATCAGCTTGATGCTGCTAATTCCGCAATTTCAGTGTCAACGATGTCAAAGCTATCTAGATATCTTCAGTTACCTCACTCTTTCCACGTCAATACACTTCCCTTCCATCTATTCACCCTGTATGCAATGAAACTGCGTCTTTCCTGTCTTACTTGCTGCCGCTCATTCTGCCACATGTTTTATTGGAAGACCAATGGGATTCTAGGACACTTTTATACCAATGACTCTTCTCGTTTCCTGTCCTTGTGATGTTTAAACGCACCTTCGTTTTGATATTTAAATCGTCCTTACACATTTCTACATTGTCTAATGAATGAGATTTAATCGACACCAACGCAAACCTCCTCTGTACCAACCTACGACAACCATTAGAAACCCATGTACAGACGCATCTGCTTATTTCCAAGATGTTGTAGTGCAAGAGTGCAAGCAAATTGAATCGGAAAATCAGGATCATACCGCTAAATGCGACACCCAGCATGCCTC